CTAAAAGTTCTAAGTTAAGTGAGAAACACTTTTGGTATTCAATAGAATTGATGTATATTGATTGTAATTAGGGCATATATTCCATTTATCTCAAACACAGAGTAAAAGACAAACAATACTTATTACAAAGAAGCAAATGAGAAAATGTAAACCTTCTCGAAAGACAGCTGTCTGGTGACCAAATGACGTGACGTAAAGGCGGTAGGTTCCTAATGATGCAAAGTTTAAGAAATGTAATAAAAACCACAATATAAAGGGCGATAATCCAGATAAGATAATGCCAAATGGTTAATAAGCTATCGTTTTAGGAACTAATGGGAATTATTCAGCTATGTAATTGCACTAAATATAATACGTAAAACCTTACAAGAAATGCAAAACAGGTATGCTGGAGAAATCATACTATAAATGTGTTTTTATATAAAGTCATAAAAAAGATTGATAATCCAGATAGGATTAGGAAACTACAGAAAATTTAAAATAAATATTAAATTGGAACATTATCCAGTATGTAGTCGGTAATATACTTATAAGAAATGTCAAACTTGGTATGTTGAAGAAATGGAATTTTCGAAATTTCTTTTAAAATGTGTTATTGTGTACCGCCTTTGGCAGTGGACTTAAAATAAAGAGATTTTATTCTGGAAAGAAATAGTTCTTTATGGTTACATATGGTCAAAAATCGTAATGCTAGTGAATAGAAAACACTATATAGTGTAGTATCTGGTATGTTACTATAAATTGACGGGTATTTTACTACTTCAAAGCCAAATTTGTATGTTTTGTCGAAAATACCAACATTAAATTTATTGTTAATTATTTTTATATCCAGGTCAAGAACAGATGCATTTTTAGTGCCAGAATTTTCTTTATTTAATATAAATTCTGAAGGATATATTTTACTTTTATATTTGTTGAAAGTTCTGTTATCATTGATAGGTGTTATGTCATAATGTATCAGAAGGTATATTTAGACTTTTAGCTACTTTGTAATCAGTTTTTCGTTTATGGTCCTGAGAGCAGAATTCGTGTTTTTCCATTCTCCAAAAGATTCTAGAGGTGCACAAAATCTATCAGACCAAGCTACTATACATTTTCTGAATCGAGATTTTAGATTATTATGTAAATTTTTGAAATTAGTTTTATTTGGTTGTTCTCGAAATTGTGGTCCAAAGCGGAAAAGGTTTTAAAGATTTTTATTTTCAACAATATCAAAGTTTCCTGTTAGTATATGGTCATGAAACTCTTCTTTAAAAGGAGAGTTGGCTCATTGACATGTTGTATTATCGTAATTGTCAATAAATTCTTGTAAGTTAAGGTTATAATTCATTAGATTCATGGTAGTTAAATATTTTATTTCGAATTGGAGGTAAAAATTTGTATACGACTGTGGGTGAAATTTTAGGAATAGTATCTGGTATAGATTTAATTACTGATCGATCTCTAAAGATTCTATTCAATCCAATGTCTTGTATATTTTTATCTGTAAAAAGGATTTTACATAACACATCAGGTTTTATCTTTCCTACTTTATGAGGTTGTATTGAATGCTTAGGTGAAAATTTGCTATTTATTAAATCGATTATAACATCGTAATATTGAGGAAGAAAACGTTCATTGAGTTGATTAGAATAGATGATGTTCTGTATAAGGACACCAAGTTTCTTGTTGATTTTTTCAAAGTGTGTACAATTTCTCAGGCTAGGCTGAGTACACAAGCTGCACCTTTCGTTTTGTTATCAATTTTTTCAAAGGTAATTAACAATATATGTTACTCCCCGGTCCGAGCTACCCCTATACCCCAAATTTCAGACTCGGGGCAGACCTAGTGTAGCCGCCAACCCCGAACAGACCGGCTTCGCTCGGGGGTCATACTCTGAAACCGGAAGTGGTAGACTAACGCCACCTGGCCTATGTTACTCCCTGGTCCGGGCTACCCCTTTACCACAAATTTCAGACTCGGGGCACATATAATATGTGATGATTCTGTTATACCATTATCTTTAATGTGGTTGTTCATTGACAGTACATAGGTTATATATGTAAACATCTAGATGATAGGTTTATATATGTCTGATTATTAGTATGTCTGAAATTGAATCGTTGTAGTACTATTCGATCTTTCAGCTTCGCGTTGCCCCCACTGGTTAACAGACACATTCCATTCCTGACCATGAAGATGACATATGACAAATGTGTTTATTAACCTATAGTTCAATTTATGTAGATTTCTATTATTTCAGGTGTTATTTTGCTTGACCAAGAATCTATACACAACTATTAGTCAAGGCCATAATATTATTTGTGTTTCAGATGAAATTACATCTTTTAAAATATTGTACTTTGATTACTGTCTGCGGGGCTATTGTGAGTGGGAGTGAATTTGAAACTTCACAAAAATTGGTTGGTCCCATCGTCAAGCATGAATAAATTTGTATAATACATATAATATAATGTTTGGTATTTCAGCCCAGTACACCATGTAGAGTGACGTCCACATCTACCATAATTAATTTTGAAACTCAATGTCCTTCTGGTCTTAACCCTAAATTACCAGGTAAAACTTTGTTCATGTGTTACTGTGTAATACAATTTATTGCACATTGTACATGTATTATGTTCACCTTTATACTGAGAATTCCAAACTTTCTAGATTGATACAATCTTGAACAGTTTGCCGTCATGTGCCTTCGTGCGCTATACCAAATAGTTTGTGTTAAATGTTTTATTTTCTGCCCTGACGTGTCTTTGTATTCTTTTTATCTGGCTGTCTTTGATTGTTCAGTTCACATTGTTTTCTAACTGAATAAAATTCAGCCTTTCTTTTTGTTATATTTTTAAAAAAATAAGAATGTAATGGCATTGTGGCATATTGTGGCTTTAAAAGAAGTAGGATGGGAGTAGCATTTAGTAACTGAATGAGAATAACACATGATACAATTATGTATAATACAAGTTACTTTAGACATTTCCACAAGGGTTCTCTCATCTTATCAAGCAAAGATAAAGAAGAGAGAACGCTTGTTGAAGTGTCGCCAGAAATAAATGTCTGAACTAAGGAAATAAACGTCTAAATTAAGGAAATAAACATCTGAAGTAAGGAATTATTTGTTATTTATAGATGGAGGATACAGAGATCTACCTGGTACGCCTACTGATGTAAAGATAGAGAGAATAGACAGTACTGGACAACCAATACTAGTTATTTCATGGAAACATCCAGTACCAGGTATATTGTAGTTTAATGTCACTTACTAGCTTTATAGGCCATTTCAGGACAAAAATAGATTTATTTCAATAATTTAATTCACTTACGCACATGGATCTTCGGAAATGGGAGAAAAACAAGAGTCACTACAGGATTAGTTATTCCACTTCTTGTTGTGAACAAATCTTGTATTGAATTCATGATTTTCATAGATAGCAGACCTATTAATCAAATGCCAATATTAAAAATTAAGGCTGCAACAATCTGGCCTATTAAAAACTGGCTGTTGAGTTTCCATTCTGGGATATTAGATACTAGGGGATTTGCTTTTGGTCCTGCATTTGAAGACAAGTTCTATTTCACATCTGTGTTTATATAGTAAAAGAGGTTATCTTCAAATGCAACTCTGTCAAAAAAAACAACTAAACCATATTGATTAAAGAAAACATCTTTCATTCCATATAGTATAGTCTTAATTGATTTTTACCTGTATCGACCTGATGAACAAACATCTTGTTTCCATGTATAGCCTACCAAACAGATGGATTCCACCCACTCTTCTTGCACAATTTTTATACTTTTTGAAACTGTTGCCTGATACTTAATTCATTTGTGGTAAAGTTGTACAGATTCTGTTGCCAATTAATTCATTTTATTTCAGATAAGAGCCTGCCTCCTTTGCAGAGTTTCAGTGTATTTGTACAAGCATGGGATACTAAAGATAGTTTTAAAACTAAATGTTTAGATCGCTGGTTTACTGTCTATAGCCCTTCTCCTACCTGGCCAGATCATAGAACAGTAAGTCATTATGTTACTCGTTAAACGGTACAGGAAAACTGTAAAACAAGATACAGACAGAACAAACACAGCATAAACATAAAAATAAGGATGTGTTTGATTGAAGAGAATCCAGGAAAATTCATGCATAATTAGTCAAAAAATAATTTCTATTTGACAAGAGATCTTTGAGATATACATAATGATTTAACTTTCAGTTTATAAGTCAACTGTCAATGCAATGTTAGATGCTGCAGGGCCTAAGGAATTATAGACATGCAGACGGATTAAGGGGTCAGTTATAGGGGATAACGATATTATACACGTATAACATCATAAACACATGGTATAATATACATGTAGACTATCCAGTCTATATTTTTTTTATGTTCCCCCTTTATCGCCTCAGGATAAGTACTTCACCATTTGCGTAGTGGTGGGATTTACCACCCAGATCTGGTTAAAATTATATCATTGGTTGCTTTTGTGTTACCATTGCTGCTTGAGGAAAATAGTCTCATTTCTCTCGTATGAATCAGCAGAGTGATGCATTTCAGATGTCAATCATTGTGAACAATTTCAGAAGAATATTTGATTTCTGCTGTGAGCGCATTTCTTTTTTGTCTGACAACCTCTCTTTTCTTGTCATAATTGATAATATATCTTTTTACATTGCAAAACAATCCAACATAATTATAAACTTATTGATATCCTTTGATAAAGCCTTTGTTTCTTCGAATGGGAAGAAATAATCAAGTTCCAAGAAAACAATAGATCCATTGACAGTTAAAATTCTAAATTCTGAGAGTACCAACACACTCTTTGATCTGCTCACATCACCATAGAAATAGGAATATTTTACTCTCAAAATGGCCAGCACAGAGTATTTTGATGAGGGGAACTCATACTTCATTTAGTTGAACAAGGTGCGGTCCACTTATTATTAGATATGGCTACATAAACAAAATGTTATTTTATTTAATTTATCTACTTATTTTTTATTCTTTAGATAACTCTGGAAATAACCTGTCCATTTTTTCGTGATAAATGGTTATTTGTATATATAAATAGCATGTTTAATACATCATCAAAATGTTTTGTACGACAAGCTCACGGTATCTACAAATCATCTGGTTAGTTCAACATATTTAATATTTTATTTAAATAGTTCATGAATTGCGTCAATTTTAGATTGGGAACAATTTATTTTATATTTGCACAGTCGGAATACCTTACTTATTAAAGACATTCTCAACTGAAATCTAACTTTGTTGAAGCTAATGTTTTGATTTGTTTTGTGAAATGGGTACCGTTTCTGTCAGTTAAGATTATGTGTCAGCAAAATAGCAGATTTTGTTGAATATTTAAGCAAACAACAACAAGCGTACTGTGCACTGGGAACGGAATATGACATCATCACAGCCATCTTTCAATTCTGACATTATATCAAAAATCTAAGTTTGTTAATCAATGCACAATTGTCTAAGGAAAAAGCATGCCAAGTTTCATGTCAATCGTACTCGAATTGACAGACCCTTACACTTTTTATACGCCCACATTTTAATGCAGATGTATATTGACGTTGCCTCTGTCTGTCCGTCCGTGTGACCGTCAGTTCATATTTTGTTTGTGGACACTCTACAGGTCACAACTTTTGTCCAATTTTAACGAAACTTAAAATATAGGTGTATCTCCCAAAGATCTTGGTTCCTTTCGAAATTGGCATGTATCGGACCGTAACTTCATGGATTATGACACCTGATTGTATGAAAAATCACCTTTTTAGCTTGTGGCCACTCTAGATGTCACAATTTTTATCTGATTTTGTTGAAACTTGAAATGTATGTTTATAATCCATAGATCTCGGTTCCTTTCGATATTTCGCACATATCAGACTTTAACTTCCTGAATTATGGCCCCTGATTGTACGAAAAATCACATTTTTAGCCTGCAGTCCCTCTAGAGGTCATGATTTTTATCCGATTTAAAAAAAAAACGTTTAATTATATCACAGTTACACCACAATGAGGGTTGAGTTTGAATTTGATAACAATCCGACTGAAACTGCCGGACAAAATGGCTGCTCCTTGTACGCAAATAGTCTAAAAGTATGTCATACCAAGGTTGTGGACCCTCTCGAAGTCACAATATTTCTTTGATTTTGATGAAACTTAAAATGTGTGTTTATAATCCAAAGATCTTGGTTCCTTTCTGTATTCGTACATACCGTATCGTAACTTCCTGGATTATGGCGTTTTTGTTTAACATGTTCTCTGTCCATCTCTTCCAAAATGTGGGCATATCTTGCCCGGCAACAGCTGGTTTAGAAAAGTGTCACCCCAAGAACATCAAGAACAACAACAAGATGAGTACAGAAAATTAAAATTGAAACAAGTAAACAAAGCTTTATCGAATCATAAAGTAGATCATCCTGATTCTTTGCTTTATTTTAAACTAAATCAATAAGATTTTGACACTTAAAATAAAACTCAATTATCTAGTTACTATTCCAAAACTACAGAACCCTAATGATAAGGAAAAATATTTGTGTGCCTGGAGAAATATCAATGGAGAAATTACCCATTAGAAAGCTTTACAATTTTTATATGCACACTTGCTAATGTGGTCCTATATTGTTAGTCACCAATATTCGTCCAATAACTTTGTTAGTTTCATGGTGAGTAAATTGGCCGATGGGTCATGAGACCTGAATATATGCCCGACTTGGAACTTATTGTCCACACTTACCCACTCTTAATGAATCAATAGAATTGGAATAATGATAGGGTCGTTTTTATTTTGAGTGTTTTCTCAAAAGTAGTTCCAGAGTTATTGACCCTGACTAATACAATTTTTGACAAACGTACATTATTGTACTCATTGAAAGTTTAAACTATCTAGAGTGGCGAGAACAATAATTGTACCCACTCGAGTTCAATTCTTCAATAATTTTCATCAAATTTTGATGAATAATTAATGTTTGAGTAAAGATGTGTATGGCCCCTTTTGGTTTTGACCTTTTTGGCACAGAGGCTACAGTTTTAAATAGATTTGTTTCAAATTTGGGGTGAATCATTGGTACTATCATGAGAAACCCTATCGATATTCAGCATTCTGCAACCTAATTCTGTTCCCGAGATATGTTCATTTTATGAAAACCTTGTGATCAAGGTTACAGTTTTTAACAGATGTGGTTACTCGTGATTTAAAATAAGTGCTAATTACGTTTGTTGATTGATCATTTTGTCAGACCCAAAACATTATGATTAAAAATGACAACTTTTTTCTCCATATAGGTCTGTATTTCTGTTCAGCCATGGCTGAAATGAAATGAGGTTTAACATCCTACTTTTCTGCCATGAGGCTATTAGGGAAATTTTCCCCGGACACTGACGCTAATGCCTAATCTTATATCGAATTGCAACTGTCAATGTGTACAAGGGACCTCACTTTTTTGTCCCATCTTCAGTGGGGACAAATCCATCTTCTGTTATATATATAACTAGAAGAATGCCCGGCTTCGCTCGGGGGTCATAACCCCGAGACCGGAAGTGGTAGACTAACGCCACCTGGCCTATGTTACTCCCGGGTCCGAGCTACCCCTATAGCCCAAATTTCAGACTCGGGACAGACCTAGTGTAGCCGCCAACCCCGAACAGACAGACAGACAAACGACAGTCACAAATATTAATATAGATTATTATGTAAGTGAATTTCTGTAAAGAAGATTGTAAACAGCAACAATAAACAGATGATGAGAACCTTGCAATGTTTGTGATAAGTCATTTAGCATCCCGATGATTTGACAATCAGAAATTTGTTTTTTGTATGGCCATATAAATATGTTTATATCATATAAGATTGTTGTTTTTTCTTGTAGAAACACCAGCTGGTCTACCAGATTATCGTGTTCGTCTTGATCCATATGGAACTGAGGAGATAAGTATCAAATTTAATCCTACACCTGCTGTCGAACACGTCGTTCTATGGTGTAATAGCACACAAAAAGCTGTGTGTAGCTCTACAGATTGTCAACGAGCTTATCTTTCAGCAGTAAGAAATATTTATTTGATTTTTTGTTTTAAATCCTATTTCTGTTGTATTCATACTATAATCCTCCTTCCCGTCTAGAATTCAATATCAGTTAATAAAACATATCACCAAATGGTGAAGAACATTTTATGGATGAAAGCTGAAATTGATATAATCTGACAAAAATCTTGTTCATAGTTACTGGCTTAGTGTAATTAAATTTATAAATGTGACAGCATTCTATGTACTGTAATATGCTGCTGTATGATTATATATACCGGTATATTTGATAACAGACAGCTTTATGGATAACATTTATTAGTTTTATTATACGCCAACATTTTCATGTGGACATATATTGTCGTCGCCCCTGTCCGTCCGGACGTCCGTCCGTCCACAATTTGTTTGTGGACTCTCTACAGGTCACAATTCTTGTCCGATTTTGACAAAACTTGAAATATAGCTTTATCCCAAAAAAATCTCGGCTGCTTTCGATATTGGCATGTATCGGATCGAAACTTCATGGATTATGGCCCCTGTTTGTACGAAAAATCACGTTTTTAGCTTGTGGACCCTATAGAGGTCACAATTTTTATCCGATTTTGTTGAAACTTGAAATGTAAATTGATAACCCAAAGATCTCAGTTCCTTTCGATATTCGCGCATATCGGACTGTAACTTCCTGAATTATGGCCCCTGTTTGTACGAAAAATCGCCTTTTTAGCTTGTGGACCCTATAGAAGTCATAATTTTTATCCGATTTAAAAAAACGTATTATTATATCACCGTTACACCCTAAGGACGACTGAGTTTGAATTTCGTGAAAATCAGCCCAAAATTGACAGACAAAATGGCCACCGTTCGTTCTCAAATAGCGTAAAAATATGGTATATCAAGGTTGTGGACCCTATAGAGGTCACAATTTTTATCCGATTTTGTTGAAACTTGAAATGTAAGTTTATAACCCAAAGATCTCGGTACCTGTTGATATTCGCGCATATCGGACTGTAACTTCCTGAATTATGGCCCCTGATTGTACAAAAAATCACGTTTTTAGCTTGTGTACCCTGTAGAAGTCATAATTTTTATCCGATTTAAAAACCCGTATTATTATATCACCGTTACACCCTAAGGACGACTGAGTTCGAATTTCGTGAAAATCGGCCCAAAACTGACAGACAAAATGGCCACCGTTCGTTCTCAAATAGCGTAAAAATATGGTATATCAAGGTTGTGGACCCTATAGAGGTCACAATTTTTATCCGATTTTGTTGAAACTTGAAATGTAAGTTTATAACCCAAAGATCTTGGTTCCTTTCGATATTTGCGCATATCGGACCGTAACTTCCTGAATTATGGTCCCTGATTGTATGAAAAATTGCGTTTTTAGCTTGTGGACCCGATAGAGATCATAATTTTTATCCGATTTAAAAAAATGTATTATTATATCACCGTTCCACCTTAAGGACTATTGAGTTCGAATTTCGTAAAAATCGGCCCAAAATTGACAGACAAAATGGCCACCGTTCGTTCTCAAATAGCGTAACAATATGGTATATCAAGGTTGTGGACCCTAAAGAGGTCACAATTTTTATCCGATTTTGTTGAAACTTGAAATGTAAGTTTATAACCCAAAGATCTTGGATCCTTTCGATATTCGCGCATATCAGTCTGTAACTTCCTGAATTATGGCCCCTGATTGTACGAAATATCGCGTTTTTAGCTTGTGGACCCTATAGAGGTCATAATTTTTATCCGATATAAAAAAACGTATTATTATATCACCGTTGCACCCTAGGGTCGACTGAGTTCGAATTTTGTGAAAATCGGCCCAAAATTGACAGACAAAATGGCTGCCGTTCGTTCTCAAATAGCGTAAGAATATGGTATATCAAGGTTGTGGACCCTATAGATGTCACAATTTTGATCCGATTTTGATGAAACTTGAAATACATATTTATAACCCAAAGATCTTGGTTCCTTGCGATATTCGCACATATTGGATCATAACTTCCTGAATTATGGCCCTTGATTGTACGAAAAAATCACTTCTTTTTTTGAGCTTGTTCTCTGTCCATATCTTGCAAAATGTGGGCGTATCTTGCATGGCAACCGCTTGTTAACTGAATGTTTCAATGAGGATACTCTCACCATTATCATCATTGCTTGATAAGTACCCTTATTGAAACATTGCAGTTAATAAACCTAGTGAATGTTATCCATAAAGCTGTCTGTTTCACTAAATGCCCTTTGATTAAATCAATAGGATATGTGTAGCCCTGGTAAAAAAAATAGTGCTTTCTAATTTCAAATAACAGCTATGATCAGTGCAAACTATTGAAATATAATTTACCATATGTTTATCCAGAAATGACCTAGTTTGTGTCAAGTGAACATTAAACAGCTCTCACTCTCTTTTTTCTCTTTAAAGCCAATGGACATACATGATGGATATGTATATTGAAAATGCATCAAAATTTTAATATACTCTTCAAAAAAAGTAGGGGATATTCAGAAACAATACAAAACTGCGGAAATGCACTGCTGTTTTTATTAGAGGTAACCAGTGTATGTTAATAACGGGCCAATTGCCTACACATGAACATAAAAAGTTCAAGAGATACACTGTCAAAAGTGAAAATGGACGTTTTTGATTTTTGTCTTAATAATGAGTAATTGCTCCGCCAATCCTCAGACATTCGGCAATTCATCGTGGCATGCTCCTAATCAACCATCCAATCACGATTTGGGGCAATCTGACCCACTCCTCAAGCAGTGCCACTGCCAATTATTGCAGTGTTATCGGTCGATGACACGTCTCCCAATCAAATTAAACGTAACACACTAAAGCAAGATTCGCTGAACAGTAAATCATACGCAAGAACCGATATGGCGCTATTGCGTGTCGCATGTGCAGCTCAGTGGTTCTGATTGGGCGATAAGTTCCTGTGAACATATCAAAGCATGTCAAGTGTTCATGACTATCATATCGCAACCTGCATAGGTATTTGCATTTCAATATCCTCTACTTTTTTGAAGAGTATGTATTCAAAGGGCTGGTTTCAAACAATTAGTTTAATATACAAAAATTGGGTAATGATAATTTACAATGTGAAAATATATGGGAAATTGGGTAGTGATACTAGGCAACTGACAAATAAAAGGACAATTTGTATGATAAAATTGTAATTTAAAATATATCCCATAACAGCTTAACAACACACTAAATACTTGAATCGATACTCCACAGCTTGTGGGAATATAATTGTGAATGTTGAAATGGATGTTTGATAGGTATTATGCTCTATTGATGTAGAAATTTAATTAGATAATTAAAAATTTTATAGGCTTGCTTGTTTTTCTGCTGGCTGAAATTAATATTCTCATTTTTAGTTACTAGTTGATAATTGTAGGTGTTATTGAAGAAAATATCACAGGTGATCAAATTTCACGCACTACAATGACCTTTCACCGAGATCTTTCTTAGGATCATTTTGTGACTAACATAGAGTATGTCTTTATTTCCATCATTGTGTGGCACACAGGGGCCTTTATAAATAAGAGGAACCTGAATATAACCTATTTCCATGTACAAACCTAGGATCAGACCTTTATTACATGCATTTTCGACCATAATGTGTACTGGGGTTGCTTGTGATTCATGGTTAGTAACATTTTGGGTGGTGGGTGTGTCTCGTGGTCCCTGAACCATTCTCGAAAGTTTCCAGATTATCCAAATATAGCTACTCCAATACCCAATTGACTCGAAAGCAGGTTTTTTTTTTTAAAAAAAAAGTAATATACCATATGAGACATTTTTGTAATAGGGATTTTCATATATATGTGTTATGAATGGAATAGTTCAAGCACTTGCTTGTGCCGTCAGAAGAAAAAAGTTCAAACCATGGAGGTTCCAGAATGTTAATAAATATTTTAATAGTTGATCTGTTTAGTTCGCAGGAAAATAATATTTTTTAAAGTTGTTTTAGGGTATATCACTTGAAAGTTAACATTTAATTAATTCTATAGATTTAAACTAACCCTGGACTAACCTAATTATACCAAAAGAGTTGGCCAACTGTCGGTAAAAAAAAAAATTTTCAAGCACTATATGATGCCCCTTAAATAACTTGCCTGATTCAATTACAACAATACCGTTATTTGTATATTTATCATTTACATCTTCATATTCTTACACACTTGATAATTTGGACTACCCTTTCAGAACTATATTTTAAGATATTTTTTTCAAATCCTAGAGCATCTTTCAGATAATCCATTTTCAAAATCATTTCCCCTTTCTCAGATAGTTTGTCAAAGTACAAATGAAATATAGTTTAAAACACTGATATACAATTTACATAGGTATTTGCATTTCAATATCCTCTACTTTTTTGAAGAGTATGTATTCAAAGGGCTGGTTTCAAACAATTAGTTTAATATACAAAAATTGGGTAATGATAATTTACAATGTGAAAATATATGGGATATTGGGTAGTGATACTAGGCAACTGACAAATAAAAGGACAATTTGTATGATAAAATTGTAATTTAAAATATATCCCATAACAGCTTAACAACACACTAAATACTTGAATCGATACTCCACAGCTTGTGGGAATATAATTGTGAATGTTGAAATGGATGTTTGATAGGTATTATGCTCTATTGATGTAGAAATTTAATTAGATAATTAAAAATTTTATAGGCTTGCTTGTTTTTCTGCTGGCTGAAATTAATATTCTCATTTTTAGTTACTAGTTGATAATTGTAGGTGTTATTGAAGAAAATATCACAGGTGATCAAATTTCACGCACTACAATGACCTTTCACCGAGATCTTTCTTAGGATCATTTTGTGACTAACATAGAGTATGTCTTTATTTCCATCATTGTGTGGCACACAGGGGCCTTTATAAATAAGAGGAACCTGAATATAACCTATTTCCATGTACAAACCGAGGATCAGACCTTTATTACATGCATTTTCGACCATAATGTGTACTGGGGTTGCTTGTGATTCATGGTGGTGGGTGGTGGGTGTGTCTCATGGTCCCTGAACCATTCTCGAAAGTTTCCAAATTATCCAAATATAGCTACTCCAATACCCAGTTGACTCAAAAGCAGGTTTGTTTTTTTTTTAAAAAAAGTAATATACCTTATGAGACATTTTTGTAATAGGGATTTTCATATATATGTGTTATGAATGGAATAGTTCAAGCACTTGCTTGTGCCGTCAGAAGAAAAAAGTTCAAACCATGGAGGTTCCAGAATGTTAATAAATATTTTAATAGTTGATCTGTTTAGTTCGCCGGAAAATAATATTTTTTAAAGTTGTTTTAGGGTATATCACTTGAAAGTTAACATTTAATTAATTCTATAGATTTAAACTAACCCTGGACTAACCTAATTATACCAAAAGAGTTGGCCAACTGTCGGTAAAAAAAATTTTTTTCAAGCACTATATGATGCCCCCTTAAATAACTTGCCTGATTCAATTACAACAATACCGTTATTTGTATATTTATCATTTACATCTTCATATTCTTACACACTTGATAATTTGGACTACCCTTTCAGAACTATATTTTAAGATATTTTTTTCAAATCCTAGAGCATCTTTCAGATAATCCATTTTCAAAATCATTTCCCCTTTCTCAGATAGTTTGTCAAAGTACAAATGAAATATAGTTTAAAACACTGATATACAATTTACAAAATAGTACCCTTATCGGTTTTTTATTTTTAAATCAGGGTTATGGGATGACAGTGTTTCGTAATGTCAAGTCCTGTGAATGGTACACTTTAAAGGTATAGTATTAATTTATAGAGTACCAATTTAATTAAAAAAATGCCTTGGATTGTAAAGTTTATTGAAATGAGTAATGAATCAGTTCAATTAATAATGTATTGACTTGATTGATGTGTGATATGTGCAGAACTGCAATGTTTACAACTATTTGATAAGAAAACTATATCATTCACTATGTCTAGATTAGACTGACATGGATCCAGGAATCTTATGACAACAATGGTAGCCTATAGTTCCTGCAGGTCGATCGTGACAGTGAGAATTCGGTTGGTTTGTCATTCATATTTTTTCCGCAAATCGTGGCTACAATAATCGTTATATCTTTTTGTCCCTCACCATTTGAGGAAAGCAGGAAACTATTAAAATTGGATCATATGAGGTAGAATGTTCAAACTTGCCTGAGGCTAATAAGCTGTCGATGCTTTGGGAAATGATAACTAGGTGTATAGTTTCATTATATCAATACCTTGACAAAGTTTGATTATGAGCATTATAAACCATATTTATTTATCTATGGGGGGTTGGATGGCCGAATGGTTATCACGTGCACGCGCTGTATCATATGGTCTGTCATTGAGTCAACTGGCGGGGGATCGATTCCCCGGTTGTACGTGACAAGTTTAGGGTCACCTGTCCAATCTCGTGTGTTTTATCCGGGTCCTCCGGTTTCCCCCACTGCTAAAGACCCCTACGCCCAAGCAAATTATTGAAATAAATGGAATCATGTGTTAGTCCTGAAATGACCTAGTTTGGGTCAAGTGGACGTTAAACCCCATTTCTCTCTCTCTCTCTTTTTATCTATGACCTTCAGCCTCGTATTTTAAAAATCCACTTAAAGGGCAAATCTCGATTATATTTTGGAGAATAAAACTGCTTAATTTTGTGTTAAAATCCTCTACCTTAGGGCCGAACAACTAACTCAATATATATAATACGTTTTGAAACAACTTAAACCTGTCAGTCTTCATCTGGAAATGGAAATCTGTGTCCCAAGCTGTATTATATGGTGTCTGGATAAAACCACACTTTTATTTTATAAAAATAATGTGTTGGTGAAATTTATCTTTCGTTATCAAGTACAGCACATGGGTCATGCACTGTATAGACTTCTAAAGGAACGGCAATAGGTTATCAGGTCACCCAATGAAAAAATTGACCCGAAATCTTAAAAGGGTTATGTGTTCGGATAAGCAGTTTTGACATTCACGTAAGCTGAATATTCGAGACAGAGTAACTACACCATTCCTCTATATTTTGGGGGGGATCACGGTGGCTAAGTGGGTAGGGCGCTGGCTCGCTAGCCTGGAGGTCGGGTGTTCGATCCCTGCATTGGCCGAGAAAGTTCATCCCGATTTTCTGGCGTGGTTCTCCCTTGTCAGTGATGCAGGACGGAGGGGCTGACAAGGACAGCTGTCTAGTCGTTCGGATGGGACGAAAAACCGAGGTCCCGTGTACTCATTGGCGTGCACGTAAACGATCCCTTGACAGTTGGAATTCGATATAAGAGTAGGCCGTAGTGCCGCTGTCCGGGCAAAATTTCCCTCATAGCACACTGTATGGCGTATGCCCGTCTTCATTAGCCCAGTTCGGAGCAAAACAGTAGGACGTTAAACTCCATTTCATTTCATTTCATTTCTATATTTTGGCGCTTAAATTTCATATGTACACAGACTTTTATTTCAGAGACTGTTAAAATCGGGATGGTCCCTTTAAACTCAACTTATTTGAGATCTGTGTGATAAATCTTCAATACAGTAGTAAAATATGAATGACTTTATTTACTTAATTTAAATGTAATCTAGTAAGTTTATCTAAGCTTGTGATACCAAGATAGCTTCAGTGTTGTTCAGTAGAATTCATTCTTTATAGTTTTTGTTGCTTTGTGTGAATTTTTCAAAAATTAAAAAAAAAGTGTTTAATAAACTATATGGCTACATTTAGAAAGCTAAACCATAAGCAGGCAAGGCAGTGTTCAGTGTTTCACTTTATAAGTATAGCTTTAAGCCATTACAGTTGGTGAATGCCACATTTATCTGACCTTTAATCCGTTTTTTTTTCTATTCCATTAAAAAACTTTTTTTGTCAGATCAAAATATGATCATGGACTGTGGATATACTTCTTTAAATAAAACTATGGAGCATTTTTATGTTGTGCTTGAACACTTGAATATAAAAACAAATGTATACTGGTAGGCCTATATAAGCATTAAGTGTTTCATTCTAAGAATATAGATAAAGTCTTACTGTTTTCTAGTTTTTATACACAAATAATTGATGTGGATGTGTATATTTATGTCACTTCTGGCATTTATCCACAGCTGCCATACATTTCTTTTTTTATTCTCTATTAAAATGGGTTCATCCGTCTGTCCCTCTGTCTGTCCGTCACACTTTTTGGGACACAATAACTCTCCTTCTAATTGAGCTAGAATGTTCAAACTTGGTGTGGGTGTTTATTAGGTCAATGACTTGATGGAGTTCAAAAATGAGCATTTTCTACTAAGGGTAAGCAGAGATAAGCAATTTGATTGGTTGATGCTTTGGGACACAATAACTTTAGTTCTAATTAAGTGAAAGTGATGAAACTTGGTGGATAGTTTCATTATATCATCAATACCTTGACTAAGTTCAATAATGAGCATTTTCTGCTCAGGGTAACTAGTAGAGCAGGAACCCAGGGGGTCAACCTAGCTGAAAAGTGTACCAAATTTCTTCTATATGATATCAATGTACATGTATATCTGGTATCATCAGAATGTAAGTCTGCCGGGTTTCTGGTGGTGGGTGTGGTATTCCACACCCTAAATGCCATGACTCCCAACTAGGCTAGATTAGCTCAAAAGTGTACCAAATGAAAATCGTACAGCAGTTCTATAGAGGGATAAGCAATTTGATTGGCCGAAACTTTGAAACACAATAATTCTCAATCTAATTGAGCTAGAATGTTCACACTTGGCGTAGGTGTTTATTAGGTCAATGCCTTGATGGAGTCCGAAGATGAACATTTTTTACTTAAGGTAAGCAGAGATAAGCAATTTGATTGGTTGATGCTTTGGGACACAATAACTTTAGTTCTAATTAAAGGACAATATTGGTGCCAGTCATTATCACACATGTGATAGAGCTGGTTAAACACATTCCAAATATAATTTTAACACAGAGATCATTGATACGGTAGCTGAGTAATACAGTAATCGGAAGTGACGAACGCCAAAGGAAAACACGAGTCATACCTCTATATAACTGACTGATGTGACGAGTGATAACAGATACACGGCCAAATTCCTTCAAAGACCAAAAGTTGTTATATGGGACTGTAAGAGGATACCTGACAATTCAATAAAGTAATTGAATGTCATTAGATAAGAGAACACAAGAAAAATAGAAATAGTCCGTACATTCCCTTGTTTATATTCATTCTATACCTTATAAAAACATGGTAATGCACGGACTTTTTCTGTTTTTCTTTCGTGTTTTCTTATCTAGTGGCAGTCAATTCTTTTTATGAATTGTCAGATATCCTCTAACAGTCTCACACAACAACTTTTGGTCTTGGAAGGAATTATTAGTGAGCAGAAATTCGCCCACGTATCTGTTATCACTTGTCACTTCAGTCAGTTATATAGAGGTGTTTTCCTTTGACGTTCGTCACTTCTGATTCAGGAAACCTGTATTACTCAGCTATCGGAGCAATGATCTCTGTGTTAAAATTATATTTGGAATGTGATAATGACTGGCACCCATATTGTCCTTTAATTAGAACTAAAGTTCTGGGATGACAGTGTTTCGGAATGTCAAGTCCTGTGAATGGTACACTTTGAAAGTATAGTATTAATTTAAAGAGTACCATTTTAATGAAAGAATTACCTTGGATTGTAAAGTTTATTGAATATGCATTTAATGAAATGAGTAATGAATCAGTTCAATTGATAATGTATTGATTTGGTTGATATGTGGATTCAAGAATCTTTCCTGCAGGTCGAGCAGGACAGTGAGAATTTGGTTGGTTTGTCATTCATATATTTTCTGCAATCGTGGCTACAATAATCGTTATGTCTTTTTGTCCCTCACCGTTTGAAGAAAGCCTGAAACTATTAAAATTCGTTCATATGAGGTAGAATGTTCAACTTGACTGAGGCTAATAAGCTGTCGATATGCTTTGGGAAATGATAACTAGGCGTATAGTTTCATTATATCAATCAATACCTTTGACTGAGTTCGATTATGAGCATTTTCTGCATAGACTAATAAGTAGAGATGAGCAATTTGAATGCTCGATGCTTTACGTACAAACCAATAAATGCGCAAGTAATTAATAAGTGGTCATCTATTTATTTTTGTTGGGTTGGCTTTTGTCTACCTCATGGAAATTTAGAATCCTATTGATTTTCAATTGATAAATTCCAGTGTTATTCCCATTTTTGTAACAAAATCTTGGTCGCTTTTGATCTTTGTTGATTGCCATGTCTGTGTGATAGCTGTTATGCTTACATTGGTATGTCTGTGTGATGGCTGTTTTGCGTATGTCTTCTCATTGTGTGTTCTCCTGCATTTACTATTATATCATATTTATCTATGACCTTCAGCCTCTTATTTCAAAAATCCACTTAAAGGGCTAATCTTCATTATATTTTGGAGGATAAAACTGCTTGATTTTGTGTGAATTTTTCAAAGCTAATCATTTGGCCTTTTGAAAAAAAGTCTTTGATAAACTATATTGCTACATTTAGAAAGCTAAACATTCCCAGGTAAGACAGTGTTCAGTGTTCACTTTATAAATATAGCTGAAAGCCATTTTGGTGAATGCCACATTTATCTGACTTTTAATCCGGTTTTTTTTTTCTATTCCATTAAAAAACTTTTTTTGTCAGAACAAATAATTGAAGGAGTGTCTAAATATGATCATGGACTGTGGATATACTTCTTTAAATAAAACTATGGAGCATTTTTATGTTTTGCTTGAAGACTTGAATATAAAAAAAAATGTATACTGGTAGGCCTATAAGCTTTAAGTGTTTCATTCTAAGAATATAGATAAAGTCTTACTGTTTTCTAGTTTTTATACACAAATAATTGATGTGGATGTGTATATTTATATCACTTCTGGCATTTATCCACAGCTGCCATACATTTTTTTTTATTATTGTCCCCCTGCCTTTTAAAATATTAAAATGGGTTTGTCAGTCTGTCCCTCTGTCCGTCCGCCTGTCTGTCCTTCACACTTTTTGGGACACAATAATTCTCCTTCTAATTGAGCTAGAATGTTCAAACTTGGTGTGGGTGTTTATTAGGTTAATGCCTTGATGGACTTCAAAAATGAGCATTTTCTGCTTAGGGTAAGCAGTGATAAGCAATTTGATTGGTTGATGCTTTGGGACACGATAACTTTAGTTCTAATTACGTGAGAGTGATGAAACTTGGTGTATAGTTTCATTACATGAATACCTTGACTAAGTTCGATAATGAGCATTTTCTGCTCAGGGTAAGCAGAGCGATAAGCAATTTGATTGGCCGAGACTATGGAACACAATAACTCTCCTAACAACAAAACACATACTTATGGAAAACAGCTACTAGTGTATTTAAGGCGACGTTTCGTACAGTGTTCTCTCAACGTTGTTGTATTTTGTCTATATATATTTGCTTCATACCTGTTTTACTGTATTAGCTTGATAATGTTGAGAGAACACTCTACGAAACGTCGCCTTAAATACACTAGTAGCTGTTTTCCATAAGTATGTGTTTTGTTGTTACTCTATCCAGTTACTAAATGCCATTTAAAGAACTCTCCTTCTAATTGAACTAAAATGTCTAGTTGTTGCAGGAAAGTAGAACATTATACATGAATTATTTTGCCTGGCAACCTATGTTTGCAGGTGTTGTGTTCATAATCAACTTTCTATTATTATTTATTGAGTTTTTTTTTTTTTAATTGTAGATTTGTCCACAAGTATCTCTTTCTAGCAGAATTTTGTATGTAGCTGAAGTTTTTATCCCAGGTAATACTGTTTGTTCATTATATCTATTCTGTTTAGTCAAAGACCTGACTTTCGATTCGACTTAAAATATTTATTAAGACTGGACAGTCAAGACAACTTGCAACACAAAAGAGCTAAGGGCTCAAATTTCAGTGAGGGGACATAACTCTAACTATTTGCCATGAATTTCTAACTCATTTGATGAACTGACGACTTGAAGACTTTGTACATCATATCCATACTGTGTACTCATCAAACTCATCATATCCTTACCATGGTCTCAAAACAACAGTATTATGATATTAACAAGACATTAAATTCAATTTCATTGATTTCTTTAGAAATGGCAAAAAAAAATACAGCAAAGCACAGCACAGCTTAACTGTATATCTTCATCAGGCTTTTTTTGCCAAGATAAACTTACAAGGCCTATACTACTTGAAATAGAATATAGTTCCAGTTTACTGGAAATAATTAGTAAATGGCAATCATTGGATTGATTGTGAATTATAAATAACTAGCAAGATACCTGGCTTCCCAAGGGGTCAAAATTCCCTCTGATGTTTCCTTATTCTGAGATTCATGAAACCAGAAGTAGTTTTCGCGACATAACTCCGAAACCGGGAGTGGTAGTCCATGGCCACCAGCCCTATGTTTGCGCTCCGATCCGAGCTACCCCTATACACCATATATTTCAGCATCAGGACTTCCCTAGTGTAGCCGCCATTCCAGAACAGACAAACGACACTCACAAATATTAGTTCAGATTTAATAAATTTTAAAATACTGTATATTAAGACTGTTTAGAGTTGTAACTGGAATATTCTATAAGGTTGATTAGTGCAGAACAGGTAAACACAGATCAGCCCTAATCAGCATTTGAGAATATATTAATAGTTTTTTTTATAAGGCTGTAATGTTTTATAAGGTATGTCTCGATATGTTATAGAGCTTAAGGCAATAGAGACCCGCAACATCTCACAAACAATAGGTATGAATTATAAACATTTTATTGTGCTACACCCAGCTTTTTTGTCCTGCTTAATGGAACCTGTTTTAATGTTGTAGTTTATAGAAATTTTGATCAGTTTATTTAATGTTTATTATTGTGCACCCTATATCTGGGTTTCCCAGATTATTCTTTATATCCTGTGGTGTGTTGATTTGTATTACCCAAATTTCTTTTGTGTGCATTGAATACTGTTGATTGTGCAGACCTAAATTTTTCTCGTCCATATTGTTTTCTACACTTTGAGTGTCAGTGCTTAAATAATATATCTTGAAAATTTACAATATAACTTCACTTACACCGGTATATATTCACAGATTTACAATGGTCACAGTTTACAATATTGCTGATTATTAACCATACATACTTGTTTTAAGTGATATTAGATGATTTTTCTTCCCTTATCTATAATGCACGATATTTATAAACAATTTTGTTTTCAAAAAACTGGTGGTGATAATTTGTAATTAAACTCATATTGTGCCCACGATCGCTAGTTAGCTTAAATGGAATGCCTAAAACTACTTGCTATCTTACAGCGCATAGGCCTATACACTACAAAGTTTTGTCTTTTATACGCCTGCATTTTCATGTGGACGTATATTGTTGTTGCCCCTATCCTTCCATAATTTGTTTGTGGACACTCTACAGGTCACAGTTCTTATTTGATTTTGACAAAACTTGAAATATAGGTTTATCTCCAAAAGATCTCGGTTCCTTTCAAAAACTTGGATCAAAACTTCATGGATTATGGCCACTGATTGTTCGAAAAATCACATTTTTAGCTTGTGGACACTCTAGAGGTCACAATTTTCATCTGATTTTGATGAAACTTTAAATGCATGTTTATAGCCCAAAGATCTTGGTTCCTTTTGATATTTCCGCATATCGGATCGTAACTTCCTGGATTATGGCCCCTGATTGTACGTTTTTAGCTTGTGGTCCCTCTAGAGGTCACAATTTTTATCCAATTTTAAAAACGCTTAAATGTATCACCGTTACACCTTAATGTCAGTTGAGTTCAAATTTCTTGATAATCGGACCGACACTGTCTGATAAAATGGCCAGTCCTTGTATGCAAATAGTGTAAAAGTATGTAACACCAAGGTATGCAAATTATCGGTCTTGTGGACACCCCTCCCCTTCCTTTTCAACATTTTACTAGTTTCTAATCTATTCTGAGCTCGATGCTAGCTTTGTATTTGGAATCTTTCTTACTGATGATAGTGTGTTGGTCATTCTAGTAATCTAGATCTGAAAGCAAATTCCCTACTCTACCAAACCCATCAAAAGACGATTCTACATGGAACATGACAATTAAGTTATTTGTAGATTTGTATGGTTTAAAAAATACATTATAATTCAGATCATCACTGTTAATACCTCAAATATCTTCTTTTACTCTGATTGAGTATTATGAAGCTGTAGTTTGATCGTGTTTAAATAAAATTATGCATCAAAAAAACAATTTATGTCTTGGGTCTTAGATTACCCCTTGTTTCCGACAATGTTTTGCCGACAAGGGTTAAGCAATTTGATTAGTTGAGACTTTGGAGCTCGATAACTTTGATTCTATTGAGTGAGAGTGATGAAACTTGGTGTATAGCAGTGTTGTGATTTCGCCCGTGTATTTCGGACATGTCCTATGCCCTTTTCCAAATGTCCAAAAACATCCAGGAATATGCTTAATCAGACATCAAGATATGGTGAATGATATTCAAAAGTCTAAAATTAATATATCGTACTGAGTGTATATCTACCATTCAACCAGATTATCGTTGATAATAGGCGGGATTGATAAGGTAATTAAGTGATCAACATATTTACCGTGTTATACCGTCTATACACCTACCTTGATTAACTACTTAATCTGCCTTGATTGACTGACTTAATCCGTTGTCGGTCAATTCATCAATCTAATCTTAAACCGAAATCACGGCTTCTCCTAATAGTATAACACCCCAAATCAATATATCTGTTAACTTTTCTGGGATATTACTTTGGTGGAAGCGGATGTTAAATAAAGCTATTCCACACACACACATATCCGATAAATACGAGAAAATGCAGGCCTGTCTCTTATGGAACATGGTTATAATACGAAAACTAAAATAGAAATCTCGTAAGACGCGTTAAATTTCAATAGATGTAAACGTGACAATAAGTGATGTCATATTCTTGGGTTTATGATAATATTTTGGGACACAATAACTCTCCTCGCAATTGAGCTAGAATGTTCAAACTACATGTATGTGTAGATGTTTATTAGGTGAATGCCTTGACAGTGTTCGGTCATGCACATTTTCCACTAATGCTAAGCAGAGATGATAAGGAATTTTATTACTTGAGACTTTGGAACACAATAACTATAGTTCTAATTGGGTGAGAGTGATGAAACTCAGAGTATAGATTCATTACATCAATACCTTAACTAAGCTTGATGATGGGAAATTTCTGCTTAAGCTTAGTTGCGATAAGAAAATTTAATTGGTCTAACCTTTGTAACATAACTTTGCTTTTAACTGAGGTAGACTGTTAAAACTTGGTATAGATGTTCATTAGATGAATGACTTTACTGGGTTCAATGATTAACATTTTCTGCTAAAGCTAAGCAGAGCTAAGCTTTTTCATTGGTCAATGCTTTGGATAAGATAACTTTGATTCTAAATGATGGAGAGTGATGAAACCTTCAAAACCTTGATTGAGTTTGATTGTGAACATTTTCTGCTTAGATTAAGTATAGATAATCAGTTTGATTGCGTGATAATTTTCAAAAAGATAAATGTGCAATTAGCCTCTCTGTTGTCATGTTATTAGTACACGTATTATTATTAGGTGTGTGAGATGTTGATGACCGAGCAGGCCCGTACCTTGCAGATGGGGCGGGGGGGGGGCAAGAAGGGCAATGTGCCCATATCAGTATGGGCGCCCCATAAAGCCGAGTGACATTGGTTAGACTGTCCCCCTTGCGCAGTCGCTAGCTACAGGCCTGCTGAGCCACTGATTTTCCTAATCCACGCTAAAATGTATTAAAATGGGTTATTTAACATTTAATTAAGAAAACAAAACAAAAATATTCATGGAAGATAATTTCCTGGATTTGATTTAATCTGATTAAAAAATGATGGCTGGCTTGTTTATATCATCTGCAGAGGATGTCAAATGTTACGATACACGTACAAATTTCTGCTCTATAATAATTCTTTCGAAGACCAAAAGTTGTTATATTTGGAATGTGGTCAACCAGTTATGTAACAAGTGATAATGGCCGACACCATTATTGTCCTTAAATAGGATTCCATTATGTACATATATCTGTTATATCTGTCGTACAGAATGATGCATACACACTGCGGTACCATTGGTCAAATGTTTAGCCTGTTCTTTTTAGCGACAAAGATTTTCATACGAACGTGGTTGCAACTTAGAAAACCCATCATATGGTTGGATTTTGCCAGTATGATACTCGTTTGATGCAGAAAACACAATGCGTTATGAAGTACTTCCATCTGGAAACTGTTTTCATTGATTTTTGTCTGTTCACGCAGAAGAGACTGTTAACTACCTTTAGAGTTGAAAATCCAAAGCCAAAGGCCACAGATATGGTGGTAATTTCTCAATGCAATTGGAATTGAGTAAAGGGTTTTATGGCTGTAGGCCAGACTGAGAACAAAATTGTGTTCAGCTAATTTTATAGTCTGGGATTGTAGTTTAGAATTGTGTTTAAGAATAATTTTATACTAATTATAGTGAAATTACCAAGCAATCAATCCTGTAAGACATGGCAAATCTAGGTTTATTGTCACCAAAGCATTGCTGAATCTAAAAGTTTTTTTATAAATAAAAACAAGATATTGGTGTGTTGTTTTGATTTCTACCAAATCAATGAATATTGATTTAAAAACACATTAATTTATTTTTCAGTGGAGAATATTAATGATGACTTGATCATAAATCAACAACAAGTAAGAGGTTTTTTCATCTCTCTTTAAATTCTGTTCCTCGTAAATTCTGTCCAAAAAACAAATGTAGAAGAATTATGTTCGAATAAAGGATGGAAATGGCAGATAACTTGACTATAAAATGTCCCAGCACATTGTTTGAATCCTGATTTTGATGTCGACATGGAAATGAAATTCATTTCTATTCATTTTTCTGGTATTTTGGCGAGAAATAAGATGACTTTGAGTTATTAGAATTTAAATTACTTCTTTAATTACAGGCTTTATGTCTGAAGGTTAGGAAATCAAATAAACAAATTCATATACTGCAGTTAATTTTATTTGATTGTAACAATCACTTGCATGTAGCACTCTATTCAAATAAAGTTTATATATGTAAAACGATATAATTCCGATCTATAAAAGTGAATTAGGCAATAATTACATGTAGCCTTATTTTCCTACAATAGGTAATCAATATCTTATGATTTGGAACTATTTTAACCTTGTAGAATTTAGGGGTTATTTTTTTGATAACTTGACTGCGATATCACCCTCAGTGAAAGCGGACATTAATGACTAATAGAAGAAGAATATGTTGTTGAATGCCGAATGTGAACAGCAAAGCCAAGTTGATTAGGAACAACAGCTACATATGAATATAGATTGTTGTCTTTATTGCTACAACCTACACAACCTCCTCGGGACCTATCTTGTTAATTCTGCATATAATGTTATACTTGCTCAAAGATCAAATCTGTATCTTTTAGTTGTCAGAAGATACCTGTCAAAATAACAATGTACATACAGGGGAGTTTGTAATATTAGTGAGGCATCATATTCTTTTAAATCAAAATTGATTTCTGTTTAATTTTCAGGGTGTTACCGCATCAGCTGGAACAGGTAGTTCAAGCGAGACAATGCTACCATGGATAGTTGTTGGAGGGGTAGTGGGAGTTGTTTTATTGGGCCTTGTATTTACTACAATACTAGTGTTTAAATACCGAGGTAAACTTTCATTATATTCAAATATAGTAATTTGTCATTAGAATAATTGTAATGACTTATTTTACTGAGAAGTTTTATCAGACAAGATCTAAATGTCTGACTTTGTCGTTATGTAAAGTTAAAAAGTCGTGTTATCTGAGAAAGTTTTTCAAGATTGTCTTGCATGGTTTCCCTTTGTCAACGGTGCAGGACGGAGGATCTTGCAAGGAACAGCATCTAGTCGTTTGGATGGGATGCAAAACCGATGTCCTGTGTACACATTGGCGTGCACATAATGGAAGTACCATTATGGTACCCTTGACAATTGAATGTTGAAATAAGAGTAGGCCCATTTTCTTTTTGTGTGTCTGTGTGTCGCCTACAGCCCGCATTTCTTAATCGATCGTCTTGAAAACTTTTCATACATACTCCTTATATTCTTTGTATGTCTGTGTGTTGCCTACAGGTCACAATTCCTAATGCATTGTCTTGGAACTTGGCATATGTATTCCTTATAGCCTAAGGACAGCAACTATTGATTTTGCTGCATGTTTCGGCCTCCAGGGGCAGGGTCACACCCAATGTTTGTGTTTATCGTATGTAGATCGCAATTCTGATTGGATTAATTTGGAACTTGGTATGATAGGGTGGCAACTATTGATTCGCCCCCACCCCCACCTCTTTCGGCGATCCCACGCCAACTGTTTGTTAATTTTTTGTCTGTAAATACTCTACAAGTTGCAATTATTAACAGATTTGGATCCAATTCAGCATAGGATTGTACCTATTTATATTGGTCCATGTCCATCCCCCAGATGCAGAGCCATGCCCAATTTTTGTGTTTTTGAACCACATGTTAGTCCTGAAATGACCTAGTTTGTGTCAAGTGGATATTAAACCCCATTTCTTTCTCTCTGTTTTCCGACGGGTGTACATAACATACTATTGGCATTTGGAATTTGAAGGAGAGTAAAATAGTACATTTTGTTGACCAGAATGAAGATTGGGACATATTATTGAGTTACAACAAGAGTGGTATTGAGCCTTTAATATTACATGAGGGTAGGACTATATATGTGACTTGATAGTAAAGAAAGGCTATGTGACTTGATAATACAACAGGATATGACTTTTTGACTAGATGCTACACAAGAGTAGGTCTTTGTGACGTGATACTATGATAGATAGAGGCTGTTTAACTTGATACTACAACAGACTAGGACTTTTTGACTTGATATTAGACGAGACTTGGTCTTGGTGCTTCAATATAGGTCTTTGTGACTTGATAGTACAATAGAGTAGGACTTATAATATGTATGTTGTATAGGACTTAATATGTATGTTGCATAGGACTTAAAGGACAATATTGGTGCCAGTCATTATCACATGTGTGATAGAACTGGTTAAACACGTTCCAAATATTATTTTTTCACAGATATCATTGCTACGATAGATGAGTAATCAATGTTTCAACAATAGGAAGTGACGAACGCAAAAGGAAAACACGAGTTATCCCTCTATAAAACTGGCTGAAGTGACGCGTGATAACAGATACATTGACAATATTGGTGCCAGTCATTATCACATGTGTGATAGAACTGGTTAAACACGTTCCAAATATTATTTTTTCACAGATATCATTGCTACGATAGATGAGTAATCAATGTTTCAACAATAGGAAGTGACGAACGCAAAAGGAAAACACGAGTTATCCCTCTATAAAACTGGCTGAAGTGACGCGTGATAACAGATACATTGGCAAATTTCTGCTCACTAAAATTTCGTTCGAAGATCAAAAGTTGTTATATGAGACTGTAAGAGTATATCTGACAATTCAAAAAAGTAATTGAATGTCATTAGATAAGAGAACACAAGAAAAATAGAAACAGTCCATACATTCACGGGTGTTTATTCATTCTATACTTATAAAAACATGGTAATGCACAGACTTTTTCTATTTTTCTTTCATGTTCTCTTATCTAGTGACAGTCAATTTTGTTTATGAATTGTCAGATATCCTTTCATACAACATACAACATCTTTTGGTCTTCGAAGGAATTATTAGTGAGCAGAAATTCGCCCATGTATCTGTTATCACCCGTCACTTCAGCCAGTTTTATAGAGGGATAACTCGTGTTTTCCTTTTGCGTTCGTCACTTCCTATTGTTGAAACATTGATTACTCATCTATCGTAGCAATGATATCTGTGAAAAAATAATATTTGGAACGTGTTTAACCAGTTCTATCACATATGTGATAATGACTGGCACCAATATTGTCCTTTAATATATATGTTGTATAGGACTTATAATATGTTGTATTTCACAGAAAGATGTCATTTTACAAGAGAGGAGATTAAATATAGCAAACAGCATAAAACATCTACCATTTCTAATATCTCTTCAGGTAAATACAGCACTGTGACTTACATTTTATTGACTCAGTGTTAAAGCAAAATATATGCTTTGATTTTCATACCGTACATACCTTGAACAATAAATTTACAGCAGCAGAATTTTTGTGCCATATTAATTTTACCGCTGTCCTACCTTGTTACAACTGGGTGAACTGGACTACAAGGATAAAAGTTTGTTAGTCCATGACACCGAGAGAGGATGGATCATAGGATTTCGATGACACAGATCTGCTTCATTAGCCACAGCTGTACCATTTCCCTGTAACACAAAACCAATTTTTTAATACTATTGGGGGAGCCGGAGGGGTATCTTAACACATTGATTGTAGATCATAAGTTTTTTTTATCAATGCAAGGCATGCCTTTGATCCCAAGGGGTTGGGTCGTCTGTTTGAACTCTAATAACTGCTTTCTTCCCACTTCTAAAGACCCCTTTGAATCATCAAATTATGACTTTAAAAGAATTAAATATGCTGTGCATTAGGTCTGAAATAACTATTGAATGAACATGAAACCCTATTTTTTTCTCTTTTTCTATTATTAGCTGTTTTCTTTTTGCAGATTGTCCCTCTGAAATCCTTGCCTTATTTGCCAACGATGCCACACCAATTCCTATTTTCTACTACCCTGATAATAAGGAACACATAGACACAGTTAACTGGTGGGCAAAGAGAATACAAAAAAATGCAGGTGGAGTCTTTAATATCCAGACCTACTCAGTAATGGATCCTATTTTTAACCAGGTCATGTCAAATGTTTTTGACAAATTTGGTTTATTTAATATGATATTCATAGTTTATTCACCACAAGTATTCAAAATGACACCTCAGCGAAAATTATTCAAGAACACTTCTCCAATAAACAGCTTACCTCGACGAAAATTGCAGCTCAATATATCACCCATCAAACAGATCATTTTACAAAAAATACATCGAGGAAGAAACAATGTGTGTATTTTAGATGTGTGTGAAGAAAAAAGTGATGATGAAGTCATAGAAATGAATTGTTTGTTAGACTTTAATAAAGTAATTCAGTTGGAGGAAGGACAGGTGCAGGATTCGGTTCAACGAGTCATCCAAGAATTAAAAATTCACCAGAATCAAACATCTCCGAATAAACTCACAAAAGACGATAGTTCTGAATTCCATGATGGCGGATATTATTCTGGACCCAAGTGTTTCCAATCCGACGAAACAAATTTAAATAGATCTGTAATGTCATTTTTCCCGCCATCAGAAATTGACGACGCTCTCAGCGAAACGAGCATAATGGAACGTTTAGAAGAAATAAATGAAAGAAGTTGTGCTTATGGTGATCATTGTCGCATGGATTCCATACAAATTATTTCAAATGGTAAATCTATGGATACTTTAAGTATCTAGTCAAATCTCAAAACTATATGGCTAGTAAAAGAGTTTACTGTGGTGATCATATAACAAACAAAATAACCGTTAAACTATTCTTAGCAAGAACTGGTCCAGTGACATTAGTTTATTTTTTATATAGAATGACTGCCATAATTTTGTAGAATCAAGTTTGCATTCTGACGATTGTACCTGAAGCAATAAGTTTGACAAAAGATATACGTCCACATTGACATAAAATAGCAGATGAATTGGAATAGCGTTCCTTAGTAGTGCTGTAATAAGATTTGTAGAAAAACATCTCTGCTGCACTATAAATCCATGGTAAATTTACCAAAAGTTACTGCGTCCAATTAAATTTGTCCAATGTTAACTGAAAACACAGATTTCAAGCGATGATTAAGAGATTAATTTATGAGGTCAATAACAAACGTGTAAATACAGAAGTATTAATTTAATATGAAGAAAAGTTATTTATTTATATGTAAAGAGACAATGTTATTTTCCGTGTGGACCTCAGACAGGGATAATGTAGAACTGGAACTGGAAATAATAATTTTAGCTGTACAGGTGGCAAATAAAATGTCAAAGCCATTTGATGGTATACCAAACATTTTGAACTTTGCGCTGGGAATGCTTGGGCCATACAAAACATTAATATATTTTTATTTTTATTTTGTCAAAAGTATCATGTGGCATCACATTTTAGGTTCTATGTTTCTCTCATGATCTGTTTATTCAAATTCACTAAAATAATTACTAATTTTTGTGTTATATATAGCTAAGTTTTACTGTTACACTGTACACCATAAGGTAAATACAAGATTATTTACAAACAATTGTCTCGATCTAAGGATTTTAACATAGATTACTTCTCCTTCAAACTCCCATCAGCAAAAAGTGGACTAGAAGATCTTTAAAATTAATTGTCATTTCTTGATAATAATGAGTCAATATCTGAGTATCCTTTACGATTGTAAATAACATTTATCAGGGTTGTTGACTTGATAGGTGAGTCTACCAACCACATCCGAATAAAACCAGAAATCTTTAATAGATATCTCCATTATTTGGGGGAAAGTATGAATCTATGGTAATCAATGATAAGATAGTTTGGACGTAGTGGTATCTTAGAACCAGAAACATAGAATATCTCTATGCAACATGCACCAGAGGGAGTCACAGAACAAATTCTGATTTTTGGTTTTTCTAGGCCTGATATATAATATATATATATCAAAATATAAATATGTTGAATTGAAATAATGAAGATCATTTCCTTTTTCATTCTGATATACATGTACATCAAATCATAAGCTAGCTGCCTGCCCTTATATGAGCGTCTTCAGGTGTTATAATGCATAATAATTAAACATAGTTTTATACATACGTAGACTCATTTCATTAATATTTATTAATTAACAAAACAATGACCATTTATTAACAGTCATTTTTACAGGTTGATTGTATGTATTCTGTTACTGTTATTCACTGAAACATTGATGGTGTAGTATATTTTTGTACTTTTTGATCATCGTTTTCTACACAATGCTATGAGTCCATAGTATTATTAACCAAATGTATTTGTATGTAAGGGGGTTGGTTGACCGAGTGGTATGTGTAGAGCATGCCCTATATAAGGTCTGCTATTGGTTTGATCCCAGACCTGTATGTGACAAGGAATATTGTCACTTCCTACCTGCATAACATGATAAACATTCTCAGCTTTCCTCCCACTGCAAAAGACTTCTATAAAATTTCCAATATTTGCACATAGTTACGCAACACTTCAGTGTAGTATTACAGTCACAGAAAGCTAAGCTCATATGAACAAGTGCATGAAAAGTCAATTAAATATTTATAGAAGTAGGTTATTTAATAAGATCTGAAGAGTATTACGGTGACAGAAAGCTAAGCTCATATATGAACATGTGCATAAAATGTCAATTAAATATTTATAGAAGTAGGTTATTTAAAAGGATCTAAAATCAAGAGCTAAAATTGCAACAGAGCAATTTGATAAAATTCATTTTTCATTTTAATTCAGATATGTGTAAAAATAATACGAAATTGTGATCTAATTTTAATTAAGATTCTTGCCAAGGTGTAATAATACTGCCATAATACAAGGATATTAATAATGTGATATTATATGATTATACTTGTTTAATAGTTTAGAATTTTATTTTACCTTTATTAAGATTGTAAGCTAAACAGCCAATTTCAGGGTTTAACCCCCTGCTAGAAGGAAGAACTTTTGAGAAATGTAAATTTCAAACTTGTTTCTAGTCATGTTTTGACATGCAACACTTGAGAAAGCGTTAGGGGGCAAAGTTCTGATCGTTATTTCATTCGGCATAAAAGGAACTCTATCACAATTAAAAAAAATTTGAAATCACAAATCATAAGAGTAATCTCCACCCATTGAAATTCTGAAATCTTGTGAAATGACACATTTTGATAAAATTTTATTAAAAGTTTGGTCATGGTTTATTGCTCATTCACATGTTTACTTTTAAAGCTTTGGATGTAGTTCATGGTGGATTTGCACTCTAGGATTTGTGGACTATGATTTTAAATTTCACACCATTTGGTTTTTGATTAATTGAAAAACATTCTTGTTTAAGTTTATTAAAGTCAACATCGGCACATGAGTAATAAGTTTTTTAACAATCGTGATCAATCTAAAAAAAAATACAAAGTTTGGAATAAGACTCGTCGGCAACGAGCTAGGGTCATATTCATGGGATGAATCTCAGTAACAAGTTACATTCCTGAACATTTTTATATTCTCACTTTTTTCATATGGACATATATTGTCGTTGCCCCTGTCCATCTGTTCAAGACTTGTTTGTGGGCACTCAACTTGTCAGAATTTTTATTCGATTTTGACGAAACTTGAAATATAGGTTTATCTTCCAAAGGTATCGGACCTTAACTTCATGAATTATGGCCCCTGATTATACGACAGATCACCTTTTTGCATTGTGGACACTATAGAGGTCACAATTTTTATCTTATTTTGATGAAACTTGAAATGTATGTTTATAACCCAAAGATCTCGGTTCCTTTCGATATTCACGCATATCCTGGAATATGGCCCCTGATTTTTTTTATCCGATTTAAAAAAGCACTCTAGAGGTCACAATTTTGATCCGATTTTGATGAAACTTTAAATTTATGTTCATATCACAAAGATTTCGGTTCCTTTCTATAATCACGCATATCGGAATATAATTTCCTGGATTATGGCCCCTGATATTCGAAAATCGCGTTTAGAGTTTGTGGACCCTCTTAGAAGTCACAATTTGTATTTAATTTTAAAAGAAGTTTAAATATATTACAACCTAATGATAGTCAAAATCTAATTTCGTGAAAATCTAACTGAAATTGTCCAAATAGCGTAAAAGTATGTAATACCAAAGTTATGGACCCTCTTGAGGTCTAAATTTTTTATTTTATCTGATCTTAAAAAACGTTTAAATATATGACCGTTACACCCTCATGACGATTGAGTACGAATTGCGTGAAAATCGGCCAGACAAAATGGTCGCTTGTTGTACGCAAATAGTGTAAAAGTAATACCAAGGTTGTGGACCCTCGAGAGGTCACAGTTTTTATCTGATTTTGATATGTTTATATCCCAAAGATCTTGGTTCCTCCTGTTATTTGCGCATATCGGACTGTAACTTCCTGGATTACGGCTCCTGAATGTACAAAAAAAATCGCTTTTTTTAGCTTGTTCTCTGTCCATCTGTTTCAAAATGTGGGCGTATCTTGCATGTCAACTGCTTGTTTTGAGATCAAACTAAGAGGCTAAAAGCGAGGGAATACATTTGGTATGTGTGACAATGCTCAGTGTTTTAGGATATAACTAAAAAATGAGCTGCATTAGTGACACTAGTTATGGCCATGCTAACAAAGAACTTGTGAGATACTGCTACCACACAGAAAAAAGGTAAATAAGGCTAAATTAGCGGCCATGTTTCCAAATATATGTGACCCGTCAAACCAAACCGGGTAGCAAGTCGCGTTGCCTAGTTTGGAGCTAGCGTCAATTTTATAACACTTGAATGATTTTTTGGTGATTTTTTTTTTCCTAAAATAAGCTTCATAAATAACTTATTTATGCCTTCCATTGTCATTTTACGGAGAAAATATACCGCTAAATATGTTTTTAGTGAACTTTTATGAGCCATGTCTAAAGCAGAAGTGTTATTTTTGACCAAAAACTTCAAGTTTTCTGCGGTTTCTACCACGCTTCTTCACCATCAGATGGGGGGAAAATCTTGGTGTCTATATAAGGCTGGGAATCTCCTCTTCCAATGACGTCAGGGAATTCTTATTTAAATATTCTATAAATAGGATTTCGACCGATTTGGGGAGGTATTTTTTGTAAACAACTCTCGCTGTTGCTACGGACATTGGGAATCCCGCGCTGTGATTGGCCAAATCTGGTCACATGCTAATGGCAGCCCCCTGTTCCGCCATGGCAGAACAGGCGATAAAGTCTAGTATTGAAGGCGATATTAGCGACCTATGATTTCGGCTTGCTATCGACTTTTCGCCTCGGAAGTTGATGTAGTCTCTACTTTCAAGGTCACATTAGAATACTCACATTGATAATTGAATTTCATTTAGGCCTACTGTGGTTTCTTACCGCATATAAAATATAGGCCTAGGCCTACAGGTTTTCCCATCACACCAAAATGGGTAGTAAGTAGCATTTTGGTCTTGTGAAGTTATGCACATATCCAGATTCCTCAGTTAATAAGCAATATTTTGGTACCACTCCCATGTCTGTATCTTATTTTGGTGTGATGGGTCACATATTTGTTTGGGATAATACTAAAAGATCAGAAACATGCTGTAGTTAAGCTCATACTCACAAAATGATATTCATTTGAGTTAAATCTCAGAAATGAGTTCCATAATTATTTGTGATCAAGCTCAAGACTGATCAAAGAAAAGAGTAAGATTGTCCTCCAATCCAAGAAACAGGCAGAGGTTTTTTTTATTTTATTTTTTGTTAATGTTTTATTTCTTTTTGGATAATGTTTACATTTGAACAAATATTATGATGGATTTTTTTGTATTTGGACAGGGTTTTTCTCTTGTTTGTTATTTAATTCAGTTATATATATTTAATGTGTTTTGAGACAAAGGCCAGTATTTGTATATTTTGGTTGTGCACAAAAGTCTATTCAATATTTTAGATGAGGCTTAAAAGGCATGGGCATAATGGGCACTATGCCCATGAAAGGCATGTTTGTAATGTAATTTTATCATACCTCACTTTTTAATGTACTTGTATTATACTGTTGCCCGTATCCGTCCAAATGTCTGTTGTCCACATTACTTGTTGGTGCAATAAAGGCTTAAAATATGATGCGACCCTTCAAAAATTTGTATTTGCTTAACTCAGTCAAAGAAAGAATCCTATGATTTTCAACATTTTTCTGGAATCACCTCCAGAGTTAATAAATCTTGTTATAGAACCCTGCTGAATTCCAGCAATTTTCAATAATAGCTTTTAACTTAAGTTAAAGGAGGCAAGTCCTTACTCAATATCATCCACAGTCTTCGACATGCAAACACTACTTATTGGTCAATTTAAATCAACTATCTTACCGTGAAAAGATGGGCTTCTGATATCCGATATTTAAGACAAAATGAAAATTTGTACACTTTGCGTATTTCGCGGTACAGAATTGGTTAGAAATTGCAGTAAAAACAGAAACGATTGAATGTAAATCAGTTTATATACATTCACAATACATTATTACCGGTATATACGTTGCGATCCATTTGTTTCTATTTCTAGGTTTCAAAGAATAGCGATTTAGCTCCTTTAAGCTCTTTTCTTTGATGCTTCCACGTATACTGATGAGCAGTGAATATTCGCTATTACACTACAATCACTTTAAGTATTAGAAAAATATATCTGGATAAAAAATATTTCCTATAAATGGGTTATTCAATGAGAAAAAGGCACCATCCTGCCCTGACTAGTTTTTAGGCTACCACATCTTATGTAA